CGTCCTTTCAAACTAAATGTAGCCAAACTTCGTATCGATAATATTACATACATCTATTGTACTGACACAGTCATACCTACTAGATAGCTGGCTGCCGATAAACGCAGCGCTATTATTCAGCAGCCATCTACTTCATGTGCTCTTTCTCTTTCAGTATCATTTACTAACATTTGCAGTTTGTTACCTAAACGTGTCTTGCTTGATTCGTATCTTGACGATATTAAATCTGACATTCTATTACTAACCGAGACTTGGCTACACGATGAATTTTGAGACTCCGAGTTATACTTCAAATCACCACTCCATTTACCGCCATGACCAGGCACACAAAAGGGATGGCGGTGTGCTGTTTGCCATCAATCGAACTATACCTTTTTTTCTTGTCCACACTGACTCTCCTCTTGATTTAGTTCGGGCCGCTTTTCCTACCTTATCTGGAAAAATACTGATGGGCGTATGCTATCCCCCACCTTCTTCTGACCGTCTCTTCGTATCTGAGCTTCACAAAAGTATTTCTAGGGCTCTTGACCTGTTTCCCACCAAATAATCCATCTATTTGGTGATTTTAATTTTTCCGACATTAACTGGTCATTAATGTCTTCATCGTGTAAAGCTTCATGTGAATTCATTGAGCTATTTCTTGACTTCAATTTCACCCCGCTTGTTTCCGAGCCCACTCGTGATAATATCTTAGGTCTCATTCTGACAACACAGCCACATACCATAGGTCCCGTTTTGCAATTAGACGGCTTTAGTGATCACAAGCTTCTACAGTTTTCAATCCATATCCTACTAACCTTTCCGCGTATTCAGCAAAAGGTAATCAGGCAAGGCAGATTAGGATCAAATGAATGCTGAACTTGATGTCTCCCTACAGAATACATTTCTTCTCTCATGCACCAACAAGTCTGTCCAAGATAACTGGATTTCTTTTAAAAATATCATGGTGCTCCTCATAAACACATATGTACCACAAATCAATGTCGCTAACGACAAATCCAAACCGGGTTCAATAGATCGCTTAGATCTCTGAGAAATAAAAAGAAAAGGTTATATGCTTGTGCAAAGAAGTTATCGTCTTCTGAATCCTGGTCTAAATATAAAGACTGCTTAAAATCTTACTGTCTTGCAGTTAATGAAGCGAAAAAAATATTTTAACACTGATCTGTCTACACTTTTGCATGCGATTGGGATGGGCGTTCGGCAAGGGGGCAAAGTGGCATGGGAGAGGATATTAGTAGGGGGGGAAGCACAGCAGCGAACGAAAGGTGTGGTTTTCATGGTTCTGATAATCAAACGCGCCTAAATCCGCTATTACTGCACACTAACCTCAGAAAATTCTGGCGTACCATTTCGCCTGATCGTGGCAGTGAGATGGTTACATTACACAACACTGATAATATTCCTGTGTCTGCATCTGAATATGCTTCATCCTTCAATTCGTTTTTCTGCTCTATCTTTACAAATGAAGACTTTTCATCAGTTCCCTACGTCTCTGATCTTGAGCACTAATTCATGTCCCATATCAGTGTTACTGTCGAAGGCATATCTGAACTTATAAACAGTCCAAAGCTGTCTACATTGTGTGGTGTGGACCATATTAATTCCAAGATACTCAAAAACACATGCGCTTCGTCCAGCCAAATTTTATGCCACATTTTTCGACAGTCTTTATTCACTGGTCACCTTCCCACCGACTAGAAGTCTGCAAAGGTCATTTCAATATTCAAAGACTGGAACAAACACTCACCTGGTAACTATCGCCCCATATCGCTAACATGCATCTCTTGCAAGCTACTGGAACCCATCATCACCTCCCATATTTACAGTCATCTTGAGTCTAATAACTTCTTCGTAAATCAACACGGTCCTCGGAAAAGATCATGTGATACCCAACTATTCCAATTTACGTCGGATATACATAACGGTATGAATAATAACAAAATCATTGATTGCATCTTTCTTGACCTAACGAAAGTATTTGACAGAGCTGCCCATTGTCGTCTAATAGCTAAACTATCGGCGCTAAGACTCGACTGAACATTATTTTGGCTCCGGAATTTTTTATCTAATCGACAGCAGTTCACATTTGTCAATAACATCAGCTCATCTACTTCATTTGCCTCATCAGGAGTACCCCAGGGTAGTGTATTAGGCCCTCTACTTTTTCTCATTTATATTATTGATTTGCCTTGCAACAATTTTTCTTCTATTCATCTTTTTGCAGTTGACTGCGTTGTATATAGGACCATTACACCACGTCCAATATATGTACAAGCATTCCAAGTAAACACGCGCATTGTGTTGCGGAATGCCGTCGCGATCAACAATTCTTCACGTCGCACCGCTACAAGCCATAGGCGCGCCACAAATTCCAAGGAACAATCCCTCCTCCTTTCCGAGCCTTTCAGGCTTCCGGGAGACGTACTGTGCCACATCTCTGGCGTGCCAAGCCAAATATGCCTACGACTTCCGGTCAGTCTGCAAGCAGCTGTTCGCGCTGGTTGTTGTTGTTCGCCGTGTTGCCTGCGTGCGTGTAACACGTGCAAAGCATGGCGTGTCTCCATACGGGTCCATCGCGTTGGCAATCCTTTGAAGGCATGTGCGCAACGCAGGTCCATACAAGCACAATTACGGCAGCGACAGTTCGCCAACAAGCACGCAACTGACAGAGTCGACAGTTGGAGTGGCGGCAACGGAAGTAGACGGTGTTTCAAGTAGCGCGTCAGTAATAACGTATGCCACCCAAGATTGGCATGGGCGTTCGGCAAGGGGGCAAAGCGGCGTGGGAGAGGATATTAGCGGGGGGGGGGGGGGGCCCAGGAGAGAGTGAAAGGTGCGGTTGTCATGGTTATGATAATCAAATGTGCCTAAATCCGCTATTACTGCAACGTTTCTGTGTTCGTTGTGCACTTATGCACAATTTCCCCACAACAAGTGAATTTCAATCTCTGGGTGGTTTACGGGGCCTTTAACCAGAAAGCACGTTTCTCATGGCACCCGATTTTTTTCAAGGGCTTTTTCATTCAATGCAACGCATGTGATAGTGACATGGCGCTATATTGTGCCAGGAAGACAGCGCTGGTAACAAAGGGCCAGTTTTGTATTTAAGCCGAAAACTGAGCTGCAGGGAAGAGGCATACGGCATTTCCGAAAAAGAATGCGCTTGCCTCGTGTGGGCCGTTCAAAAGCTGGCCTGTTATGTCTCCGGTTTGTTTGACGTTTGAGGTCGAAACAGACCACTGTCTCAAACCTGGTTGAATAACATGTTGACGAAATATGGCCCGTTACCGAGGTAGAGCATGACACTCCAACAGCACACCTTCGACGTTTGTTACAAGAAAAGCTAAACGTTATCGCAGACGCATTGAGCTGTGCGTTTTAGTCAGTACCTTCCAGATTCTTTGGTCTTTCACTGGTGAGCCGGGCATAATGTTGTCTTCATCACGGACCCAGCTGAGCGCTCCCGTCGCGAGTGATCTCAAGGGGCCAATGTATGTTGTATTCTGCTTCATTGCATTGTTGCACGTGTAAAATTTTTAGTTCTGATTTTTAGAGTTTCTTGTCTCACATGTGCCTCTTGATGTAAAGGGAACGAAATTCCGATAGACACGTAGCTAGGTGTATATTGTATTATATTGTGTCGGGTGTTCTGTCGGATAGCAGAGGGCACTTACTTGTATCATGTGTTGTCTGTTGTCAAACCGTTCTTGACAAGTTGCAGAACCATCAACAAGTGCTGAGGCCAAAAATCGTCAGATGAGACGAGCGACGACAAGTTTTGGCAACAAGCCAGTGGAGCTGGGATCCTTCTTCAAGAATGGGATCTGTTCACGGAACTGAGCCTAGAGCCACATCTTCTCTATGGCACTGGAGGCGAACCTGAAAGGACCTGGCGAACGAGCGCGCCCGACATTTGAGTCCCGTGGAAGCAGCTCGTCTTTCCAGAGCATTGACTGGTGGCGGGGATGCTGTTATGCCTGGCAGTCCAAACCGAACGTGATTGCTTCTGTAAAGTCTCATTTGATGCAAGCAACATCAGAACCAGCGAGCGCGCCAGGCTGATGCAATTACCAGCAACTCTTGCGCACCTCTTACGCAACACGTGGCAAGCCCCCTCACCCATGAGTCCGATTCCAACCAGCTTACGCAATCACTGGCAACTCTTGCGCACATATTACTCAACGCAGGGCAAGCCCCCTCACCCACAGGTGCAATTCCAGCCAGCGACCAGCGGCAGTTCCTGATTTGAGACTTTGAAGTACTAGCTGACGCAAGGGATTCCCAGGGCCTATAAAAGAACCAAGCGGCCGGAGGAGAAGCAGCGTCTAAGATCGTACGAAGAAATCTCAGCTCATTAAGCTGTCGGCCCCAGTGATGAATATGTAACGCCTCTATTTAAACTGTATGTTGCCTTAACTCGCCGCCACTTTGTCCGCTCCATCTATCAGCTCTGCACAGATGCAGCCGCGAGCTGAGACACGCGTTTCCCAACAATGATCACTGTGGAGACTTCACAACATACTTTGACTTGAAAACCAGTGGCTTGTCGAGTCTCTTGATGCCGAACTTGGACCTCGGCTCCTGTCGGACAACACGTAGTCAACTATTCCCAACAATGCTTCTTTAAATATTGTGGTCACTGCATTACTGTCGATTCAAGCACAATCCATCGTGTTCACTACCTTCTGTATGGTTCTTAGATTCCTAGCCTTACTTCGTGTTTGTCAAATGTATTCCTTTGGCCTTGTGCCAAAACTGTGACTTTTTAACAAAAATATTTGCCGCATGGTAGCGATAGAGTATGCCACAGCGCAAACTTCACCACCTATGTTGAAACCCTTGCTTTGCAATGTTGTCATAACGTGCAGACAGTTTTGTCATCATTTCTTGGGAGGGTGGTGCACCCCTGGGCCTTGTGCAGCCATGCTCTCCTTCCTCCTGCACAGCCCTCTTCACTATTACATATACTCTACCACTATTTATTGATTACACAAATATTGATCACATCTGCATCATTTTTTATTCACAGGTGTACATAGCACAGCCTCTGGTTTAGGAAGCACATGTAATTGTCTGATAATGCTGCATACTTATCTAAATGGAGCTTTTAATACCTATATTAGATATGACGACCATCTGCAGCAAAGAAGAAGTGACTATTCATGCGACTAAGAGGGACCACAATAAAGATTATTTTGTCAAGTTCTTGGTAAACCATGCTGGTCGTGGTCGGTCTACTTCCGCCACTATACAGTGCCCCTGCTTCTTTTCGCCCTGATATGCCACAACCACTTCAGTTTCCACTGGCTCCAGCTTGAGCCGTTGTGCAATGATGTCACGCAGCTGCTCAGTCTCTTGCTTCAACTTTCCATAGCAATGACCTGCAATGATGCAAAGTGATTTAGGCCCACCACATTTTCTGAATATTCATTGTAAAACAAAAGCAATACTGTAATGCACATCATGCACATGTACTATGTGCATGATGTGCATTACGATAGTACTATGTGCGTTGAGCAGATAGTACTACCGGCGTCAAATAAAACCCGAACAGCGCTGGCACTCGCAGTGGTATAGTGCTCGCCCTCCAGTTCTCACCCTTGGCCATGCTCCCGTTTCGGTGAAACTGTGCACGGCCCCTGTTCAGGCTGACAACTGGATGGTGTGCACTATGAAACTGAAAATGCTTTTCACTGTTCGGGTTTCATTTAACGCCGATAGTTGATTCGGGCACCACAACAAAGACACCCCGAGATAGCACAACAAAGACCACCGAAAATGGATATCCATACCTGCCAAGTCCAAGAATTCTGAATCCGGGAGATTATCACAAGAAGAGGGCGGAGGGGGGGGGGGGGGGCGGTAGCGCTGCATTATTTGCCTCTATTTTTCTTGCGGCACCAAAAAGAAAAAAACGGGAACAAAAAAACATCGCGAAAAATAAAAGGGGGTGAGCGATCTCAATTGCAAGCCCAAACATAGGTGTTGCGGTCCTATTGTGACTTGGAGTGGCCGAACACACGAGAGTAGGGTTTTCCGCTAACGTGAGAGTCTCAAAGAATCAACACAAATAGCAGAATCTCTTTCCAACAAAACAACTCGCGTATACGTCTTCCTAGTACACGTGAACGGATAACATATGGGACGGCGCAGCTGTCTGCCGCAAAAGCACATGTCACAGCGTTACTCGCTACTACATTCTTTTGAAAGGAACGCCAAAATGCATCTGGCTTCTTTTTTATGTCTTTATTGCCTTTATTTTACCGCTGCTTTGGCCGCGTGCCCTCGGTGCTCATACATCGCTATCGCGTTGCCACGACCACGGTTTAGTGCACGGCGTTTACGGCAAATGATAGTTCCCCGTGCGTTTGGCTGTGCACGTGCCTTCAAAACCAAATCGTTTTATGCCATCTACGATCACATCTGCTATGGTTTTGTCCGCAGAGTTTGCGGGAACCAGCGATACTTTGACTGGTCAAGTGTTGGACGCCTGCACACTTTCGGGGTTCTGTCAGTTACGTCGTCACCATACACGATAATATCAAGAACGACCACGGTTTCGTCCACAGCGGTTGTGGCAACGACCACTGTGGATGAGCACACACACTGTAAAACACAATGCGTGAACTGGTCGCACGCGTACTCCTGAAGCTTCGAGTAGGCTGCTCTCTGCCTTCAATCGACGGTTTCTGCACTAAAGTTCGCATCACCTGCCGCTATGAGCAAATATGTTTGGAACATTCGAATTTAGGCCCAATGGACATAGTGGAACTTGGCTGGGGAATTTCACGAATTCGTATCTGCCATGGTTTTGTATCACTAAGATTCAACTGTATGTTTATATGAATGCCTCTTAAATTCATCTATAATAAAATGGGGTAGGTCCACAAAAAGCCTGCAGTGGATTGAGCTGCTTTATTGTCAATGCGGCCAGATCACGCACAGGAACTTCGATTTCCAGGAGATTTTCATGACAACCATACAAACCGAAGAAACGGTTGAAATATGGGATACTTAGCAGGTATGGATATCAGACATATTATTGGCTTCAATATGACCATTACCTTCAAGTTGAACGCTGGTTTGAGCAATGGAACTAACAACGAAAGGAAAAAAAAAAGAGGACAGACAACGAGCCTTAACCCTCTGCCCTCCTTTTCAGTTCTGCTGTTTGAAAAGTTAGCTCTGCTTAATACTACATTGATGAGTTATACCCCTGCCACACAGCCACTCGAAAGCCTTTCAAGAGCAGAAGGAGATCTTCCATAAAAGTCTTATCTGCAGACACACGACAAGGATTTATCTCTTTTTCTGAAACAGATGCTATTCTTGAGGCAAAGCCAGTCAACCTTTTTTACAGCTGAAAAGAGCAGGCTTCAGGGCAGTAAGCACCACTAGTTTTCATTGATGAAAATAAAAAGCAAGTGCGTATTGTTCTGTTACCTACGCCCGTCATCAAAATGTGTTTTATGTCTCATAGAAGATGTGAACACATTTGGGCTTGCCATCTTCTCTACACTGGAGCAAACGTGAGAATCTTGTGTTGAAAAATTTATCGGAAAAAAATTGGCAGATCCCTCGTACAGTGGGAATCGGAGATATGCGAAGCACGAATAAGAAGGGTTTATATCACTTTGAAATCAGCACAACGTCATGAGGTGGAGGTAAATGATGCTGTACATGACTTTCGTGCCATGATTATCATGTTTGGTTGTATCCTTTACCTTCATCCTCTATTCACGTCACGCGATACCACATTTAGTATATGTGGAGCTAACGAAACGGTCATGAGGACACTATTAGTGTGGAAACCCTAACAACAACTAGGCGATGCCATTACTTCAACCGCAACCATGGCCTCCGCTCAGGCTTCATCGAGGCGAGTGCGGGCTCCCTGACTCACCTCACAGCCTAACGCGATGGACGTCGATCAAAAGGATGGAGATGACATCTCTGGAAAGGAAACTTCAGAAGAACAAGGTTGGATCACGATCCACGCACGTAAGAAGAATGCATTGGACACGGACGTTACCGCAGGCAGGCAAGAGGACGCCGCGTCAACAGACGCGGAGGACCATATGAGCGTCAAGGAACATAAATATGATGAACGCGGCCCCAAAGAAGCCTCACCTTTAAAAAAAAAAAGACATCAAGGTCATTATCCGACGGAAGGATGGCTTTCACACAGTTGGATACAGCATTGCCCGGATAGGTGACTGCATGCCGAGAGCAACTGGGCTGACGCCTGAAGAAGTGGTAAAGGACTCAATTCGCATTAACGAGTGGGAGAACATTATTGTAGTGAGTACACCGGTGCTCGCAAGAGCAGAAAAATACACTGCGACAAAGCCTTCCGCATAGGAGACAGAACGTACGAAGTCACCGCATATATGACTGCGCCAAAAGATACGTCGAAGGGAATCATCCGAAGGATACCCGACTACGATACCTGCAAAGGTATTCAGAAAAGCCTAGTGAACAAGAGGAACCCCAGCATATTACACGCAAAGAGGATGGGTCGCACCAATCACGCGATCATTGTATTCCAGGGCACGTATGTACTATGTTACATGTACTACAAGAGTTGTGAGTACCGCTGTGTACTATACAAGAAGCAATGTGAAGCGTGTTATGCTTGCGGAGAACTAGGCCACCGATCGGATGTTTGCCCACAGCCGCAAGCAAAAACGTGTCGTGGATATGGCAGCGCTCGAGCCCAAAGCCAATCATCGGTGCGAGCCTAGGTGCCTTCTCTGCGGCAAGGACCATCCGACTGGTGACTGGAAATACAAGGCCAAATTTAAGACCCTGTACTTAGTCAAGAAGCGACAGTAGCAAAGAAAGCTACAAGAAAACGCCTGAAGTGAATGCGGGCACGCGGAGAACGAAGAGTGCGTCCACGACATCGCTGCGTTGGACAGACGCGAGAATTGGTCGAGCTCGCGTTCCCCCTCCTGCACCCGCTCTCGATCAAGAAGCTGCAAGAAGGGGGACAAAGATCAGCAGAGGGCCAGTTCCAAAGCCCAGAGCACATGAACCCCTTGGTCTGGAACAACACCAACGCAAAAAGAGGGAGGAGAAACCGGCAGCGGACACCCTGGACCGCTTGAGGTGAGCTGGGCAGATGCCGTCCTTGGCAGACGCGCGAAGGTCAAGGCTGCTCCCTCCAATTGCAGGCAAGATGGAAAAGACAGAGGCACAACAGACCACTTAAGAAAGCAATCGTAAAGCTCAAAAGGGGCATTGAGAGTTACACGCAGCAGCTTTGCAAGCAACAGTGGGAAAATACCTGCAGTAGCATAAAGAACCAACTAGGATTCGCAAACACTTGAAGCTTACTTAGGCACCTGCTAGATCCGGATGAGACAAAAACCACTCACAGACAGAACATCAACAGAATCATACATGCGTATGAAGGCTCTGAGCAGGACATATTACAGGAGTATGAAACAGTACATCAGTTCTACCCAATAGTACATCAGTTCTACCCAATTGCAAGTGTATCCCGATTACAGAGGTGCAGTGAACGAAGTCCTAGACAGACTGATCTGCAAATCAGAGATCAGGGCAGTATTACAAAAACTTAGCACCACATCGGCGCCTGGGCCCAATTAATTACAAACAAAATGCTCAGGAATCTAGATGATAAATCGATAAAGAACTTACGGTGTTTGTCAACGTGTGCTGGGAAAAAGGAAAAGTGCCCCAACAATGGAAGAATGCTCACATCGTGCTGATACCGAAGCCGGGTAAGCGACTGCAGTTACAGAACTTCAGACCGATCTTGCTTACTTCATGCTTGGGAAAGGTAATGGAGCACGTGGTTCTCACCAGGCTGACCAACTACCTCAAGAATCGCGACCTGCTTCCCCACACAATGTTGGGGTTCAGACAAAACCTCTCCACGCAGGACGCAATGCTACAGATAGAACATCAGGTAATAGATAGCCCTAAGAGGTCCACTAAGGCCACACTTGGCCTGGACCTGAAACAGGTCTTTGATAACGTATCGCACGCAATCGTACTGGTCAAAATGCAGGAACTAAATCTCTGCGAACAAACGTACAACTATGTTCGAGATTTTCTCACGAATAGAAAAGCCAAGCTTACTTTTGGGCAGCTTAGTTATGAGGAAGTAGAATTGGGTAGCGCCAGTACACTGCAGGGATCGGTGATATCACCCATGCTTTTCAACATAGCTCTCGTGGGGTTGCCAGCCAAGCTACAAGAAATCGAAGGGCTCCATCACAGCTTTTACGCCGAAAACATTACGTTGAGGGTTACGGAGGGCTGCGACGGGCACATAGAACAGACGTTGCAACGTGTGATCGAGACTGTTGAGCGATACTTACAGAACACTGGCTTGAGCTCCTCTGTAGAA